ATTTGCATCAATTACAATAATGAATCTAATCCTAATCAAGCTAAAAGTCCTAAATCTAAGCAAGCCCAAATTATAACCAAAAATCCCTAATCTGAAACCTATAAATACAGAAGAAAAATTAACAACAAAAGGAGGGGGGGGAGAAAAAAAGTTGGAATCGCGAAGGAGAAGAATTAACAAAAGGGAAGAAGCTTGATTATAGAAGAAGAATTTGGAAGAAAAACGCAAAGAGGAATGAGGCACCAAACCCTTTGTTGTTGAAGACCGGACGAAAGGGTGATTAGGGTTTCAATATCTGAAACCCTAATCACATTGTTTCACCACCGACAAGCCATCTTCCACCGTCGCTCTCTTCGAGCATCACCGGGACCTGTGAAAAGAGATAGAAGAAGATTATCTTCAAGCAGAAAACTCGAGATCCAGAATACCAAGACGCAAAAAGAGTAAATCAGCTTAGCTTTGGTTTTGTCCTAACATTAATTTGGAGTTATTGGGTTTGATTGTGCGATTAGATAAGGGTTTGTTGTTGCGCCGCCATGGTGGTTGAAAACTAGGGTTGGGAGGGATCAAAAGCTTGCTGTGTTGAGAGAGAACGAAGGGGATAATGGTTGGAGATAATGAAAATAAACTGTAAAACAAATTTTATGTTCAGTAATAATTGCATACGCTTGCGTGTATCATAACTATCATACACCTTAGATCTCATCCGCCTGATCCTCATTGGACGGCCGATAGGCCAAGTCTCAACCGTAACTTCGTACTCCGCGCCACACACAATCCATCTAGACCCCTCTTACTGCATTTGAGCCTAGCCCATCTGCATTCTGCACCCTCCTTGTCCATAATTACTAAAACACAAAGCAAGATACATCCCCTTTAGAATTTATATCTGGGCCTAGCCCAGTCTACTTTTAGCACACCCTCAGTTTTACTCTATAACTAAAATTGCACCCCCTGGTTAATTAATTTACTTTCTATATTTTTTTTATAATTCTTATATTTTCTTCTTTTTTCTCTTTATACTATTTATTTCTTTATTTAATAATTATTATTATTGGTAATATTAATTTTATATCATATTATTATTAATATTAATTTTTATTTTATTCATCAATTGTAAATATTATTTATATTATCATAAATAAATTATTTTCTCAAAAAACTCATGTACATATATTATTTTCTCATATATTGCATTAAATCTTTTTTAATCATGCATTAATCAATATTTTCGCAACTAATACAATTAAAAAGCACAAACAAATCTCAAACTATTTTCGCGAACAAATTAAGCTAATCAACAGTCTTTTTTGCAAATGGGTTTCAAACTGATTTTGACTTACTGTGTTCTCAGTCAAAATCTCCGCAATTACTACTCCCGACCGAGTGCGAAGTGATTCAAAATAAGCTTGCAAACCCCTAAACGACACTAACCCACACGAACTACGAATTGGGACTCTGATTTCTCATAATAGGATACGTAGGCGTACGATCGAAAATCATGGTGAGTCTTTCTAATTAAAACTTAAAATCCAGTTTACCCCAAACCTAAACCTAGAGTTTAATATCCTTGTGAACAAGGTGGATGAAAGGTTCCTAACACATTCCTTTCGTCCAATTTAGTCCGAAACCTAGAATCTATGTCTGCGAATTAGGGTTTTATGTTAGATTCCCTTCCCTAGGATAAAAACTAATATGGTGACTCTGATAAAAAATATCGTTGCCACAGGTGCGAGCTCATGCTCAAAACCTCATGATGCGATATGAGGCTATACTTCTTATCATCATGAAGCCTATTGCTGAAGGAGAGGTTCCCTACACCATTCTTCATCCTGACATGCCTACTTCTCTTGAGGAGTTGCAAAGATCTTGGATTTAACTCAAAGGGGAGAGAGATACCTTTGAAACCCAATTCTACGCAAGCGAGAAGAAGGTTTTGGGTCTCACGAGACAAGTTCATGAAGAGCGGAGTTTGAATTCCTGCATTGGACTGAACAAGATGCGCTAATGGGAAGCTTGAGTCCTTTTTGTTTTAGGAGTTTATTTTGTATTATTTTTGCTTCTTCCATTGTAAGCCCAATAGGCATTTTTGTAAACCGTTTGAACTTATTAATACAATTAATGGTTGTTCCTTCTTTGTTTAAAAAAATTTATATCTTAAATGTCCTTGAAAACATTTGCATTCGCATCACATGCATCATAACATAGGAAGGCTTTTTGGCCCATGTTTCCTCATCTTTCTACTGCTTATTTCAGTAAGATGGATCTCGAGCAGACCGTGAAAGACTTGCAGACACAAAATTCTCAATTTCAAGAAACCTTGCTCAACTTGGCTAAAGGGCAGCAAAAGCTGATGTAACTTCTGGTTGCAAAGAAGAAGACCAAGAAGAAGGCTTTAATCAGCATGGGGAAAAGGTTCAAGGGCCATGTCCATCAAGTGCAAGTGGTAGAAGAGTCATCAGAGGAGGACGAGAATCGGGATGAAGATGCAAGGAGCACCTGTGCTAGGGTGAAAATAATCAACCTTATGATGATGAAGACTATTTAGATGAACAATATCCATCGGCTGATGATAAGTACAAGAAACTAGAAGATAGGTTGAAAGCTGTGGAAATTCAAGCCGTACCTAGCTTGGATTTTAGTGATTTAGGCTTGGTTCCTGGGGTAGTTATTCCCCACAAGTTCAAAATTCCAATCTTTGCTAAGTACGACGGCGTTCCGTGCCCAAAACATCACTTAAGATCCTACGTTCGTAAGATACAACCGCATACCACTGACAAGAAGTTGTGGGTGCATTTCTCTCAAGAGAGTCTGTCTGGGACTCAGTTATAATAGTTTTATCAATTGGAGGGTTCAAACATTCATACCTGGGAGGACTTGGCCACTGCCTTCTACTGTCAATATCAGTATAATGTCGATCTAGCACCAACAAGGGTGCAATTACAAGGGATGATTATGGGTTCCAATGAAAGTTTCAAAGAATATGCACAAAAGTGGAGAGAACTTGCTGGTAGAGTACAACCACCATTGACTGATAGGAATCTAGTGGATATGTTCACAGGAACATTCACTTGAATGTTTTTCAACTTATTAATTGGGAGCTCATTGCCAGGTTTCTCCGAGTTAATCTTAACTGGTGAAAGGGTCGAGAGCGGTATCAAAAGTGGAAAAATTCCCATGGATTCCTCCTCTACATCAAATACTATGAAGAAAACCTTTACTGGCAAGAAGGAAAACAATGTCGTATATGGGTGAAGAAGCCATGTAAATAAATACCATCGCCAATCTGTTAATGTGGTTTTAATCTCCAATCCACCCTCTACTCAAAGACAACAACAAGACAACCATCAAAGACCTGAGGTTCCAAGAAGACAATTCACAAGGATTAATATGTCTCTATCCCAAGCCTTGCAACACCCGTTGAAGGTTAACTTGGTAACATTGTATGATCCACTAGTAAATCCCAATGTTTCATCTCCGAAATACAATCCTAAAGCTAAATATGCCTATCACTCCAACAGCCCCGGACATGATACTGATCAATGTTGGGCTCTAAAATGCAAGATTCAAGACCTCATCGACAATAAGACTATTGAGTTTGATCCATCTACAACTCCGAATGTTATAACTGCACCAATGCCAAATCATGGCAAAGGTGTCAATGCAATTGAAGACACTGCTTTTGTTTCCTCCATTGAAGATTTGACTACTCCACTGACCATTGTTAAAGAAAATTTGCTGAGAGCTGGGGTTTTACCTAGTTGTTTAAAAAACTGTAATTGTTGTGCTCTACAAATGAATGGATGTGAATGGATGAAAAAAGGTGTTCAACACTTGATAGATAGTCATGAGATCCTGTTCGAAAGAACTTCGACCATAAAAAGTTTGACTGAAAAAGATGAAGACATATCCATTATAATCATTTCCAATAAACCTATTAGGATCTCTTCAAAAGGTCCTATTAGGATTTCCGATGAACCTAAGATTCCCCCCTTGATAATTACTACTCCAGAGCCAATTCCTTATTATTCCGATAAGGCAGTCCCTTGGAATTATGGTGCTGAAGTATACTACCATGGGATTAAGCAAGACTCCTTGATTAATAAAGACAAAACTGATGACATTACCAATATTGCTGGTTCTAGCAAGGTGACAAGGACAGGGAGAATCTTATCTCCTAACATCTTACCTCTAACTACTACAACTACACCAGTTCGCATTACCATGGACAAACCTAGTACTGACACTAGGGGAAAAGAAAAGATGGTTGAGCCTGCTAGGATAGAGTTATCTCCCAGAAACTAGGGGAAAACCTTGTCTTTTGTTGGACCATGAGATTAAGTTATCTCCCAGAAACTAGAATCTTCCAGAAGTACTTTTTCTTTCTATTCTATCTCCAGCCAGTCTGTTGCTTCTTCAAAGTCGCGTAAGCGATGAGAAAACTCTGCACCAAGCTTCATTGAATTCCTTGAGGAGGATCGCAGACTTAATTCACTTAGAAACTCCTTACAAATTTCCAAAAAATGTATCATAAAATCATTTCAATAAGTATTACGGCTCAAGCACCATCATCATTGCGAAAATTGCATCAAGATATATCAAACAAAGATGACAAAAATTAGCACAATAATTGATCGTAAAAGAAATCTAACTAAATTTCTAAATAAAAAACCAAAAGTGAATTAGCATATCTCTACTATTTTATCATGGAATTCCTATTACAATAATAAAAATTAAATGATAACTATTGAAAAGAAATCAAAGCCACCAATATAGGGGTGCAAGCTTAATATTGGTGTGTAACCAGCAAGCCCAGGCGGATGACCCAGACTGGAGTCCATGATATAACATTTTTGTTTAATGCTTAGTTTCAATAAAAACGGGCCTAATGCCATGCAGTTTCGATCCATGAGCCCTATTGTCTCAATCCAAATGTTATCCATATTATATTCATCATTACCTATCTAATAAGCAACATTAGCAAGAATTAACAAATAAACATGGAGAAACTAACGAAAAAAGAGAGTGAGAATGGTGAACGTGATTTGGGATTTTTTGTCAACATAGTGATTCTTGAAATCCCACGGCTCGAGTCTTCTTCTTCTCTCAAACCAAATCAGCGCCGAACATCTTCGATTCACCACCTCTTCTCATCGCCGACCTCCATCTTGCTTTCTTCGTCCGATCCTTTATTTCTTAACGAATTTGTCAACTCCATCCATCTTTGCTGAGTTCGTTCGATTATGTTCAAGACTCAAAAGGTCCAAAGCAAAACACAACTAAGAGATCGATCTCGCGGCTCAAACAAACAACGTTACTTAGAGATTTTATTTCCTCTGTTCTTCGCTTTCCTTTTTCTTTTTTGCGTTTCGAATTTTCTTGCGCTTTCTCTCGTTTCCGCGATAGCCTTGTTGCGGTGTTGTATTAATCTTTTACAAATTGTTGTGGTTGTCTGAAGTCGTTACAGATTCGCCAAAGCTTGTGAAGCATAAGCGTTGTTGTCGCAGATAAATAACGCAGTTGAAGGTTGAAGGGGCTTGAAGTAGTTGTTCTTGATATCGGAGAATTTTCATTCAGAAAGTGATGAAGATGCGTGAAGAGTTTCTTGAAGCCGCTGCGGATCAGTTGCAGTTACGATGCATGTTCGCAAATTGACGATTGAATTTTGAAGAGGAGAGCATTGTTGAAGAGTTTTGTGATTCTCCCAGAAAAATGGAGAATGAATCAATTTCAGGTGTGAACTCTATTTTTATATTCGGTTAGAGCTCTTAGCAGTTAGTTATAACTTGAAACCAATCTAAGACTTTGCTTTTGATTTTCGGTTAGAGAAATTGTATGGTTAGGATTGGGTCTATTTGAAAGTTAGTTAGAGATGAGAGTGAATCTGAGCTATTGAATCCTTGAGTTAGTTACAAGATTAGATGGCTGAGATTCGTTCTAATTTTGGCCTTGTGGTTTTCGGTTACATTGCTCAGCTCGCCCTGCTATGATTTTTTGTTTTTTGGGAGCCAATGTATGTTTTTTAGCATGATGTGATGTCGTGATTCATAGTGTCCTCTGTTAATTTTGATGCGGGCTATTTATCAGAATAGCATGAAGTTTTGGGATGCACAATCATGTTGATGTAATTGGCTGCAGGTTGTACTTGATGATGCAAGCTTAGCATGACCTATTATGTATTCGGTTGAGCAGAACTGGAGGCATGACATTCACTCTGTGTTGGTTTTTCTTATGCAGGTTTGTGTTTCGACTCCGGTTAGATTAAAACTCGGATGGTAGTTAAATGAAGTAGTAAAAAAAGTGTTACTTAGCTAGTGTAAGTGCAGTTAGAAGTGGATTTAATTGAAGGATAATGTTGACAGTTAGTTTTCTGGTTTTGGATTCTGTTTGTAGCTACTGCAGGTTAGTTTTTGCTAAGCTGGGATTCGGTTACAGTAATTGCAGTTTTGTTTCTTTTTGTTGGAATCTGTTGTTTTCAAGGAAGGAGAGAGGGAGTTATCACGGTTAGAAATTGGTTCTGCTATGATATGGTTATTTGGTTGGTAATTAGTTGTTTAAAAATTATGATTTTGACAGTTTTGCTGGCTTTTTCCTTGAACATGGTGGTTTTCCTAGATTGGTTTTGCAGGTTGTGGAAGCATAGTGCCATGGCCTTGATGAAAGAAAACGGAAGCGATGAGAGGGAAACTTGAAGTTCAGCGGTTCGGTAATGAAGGCAGCAACATGAAGATATGAATAAGTCTTCGTTTATGGGATTTGAGAACCAATGTCGCGTGGAGATGGCTGAAGATATCCTGGTAGCTAATTGAAAAGACTTATGTAGCTTAGAGAATATTGTCACCTCTTGTAATTTTATTTGTGAATTGTAACTTGTTTTTTGTATAACATCAACATGGCTTGTAAATTTGCACTATTATGACCTTGAACAAACAAGAATATCTGAAGTTGGATAAAACTCTGATAAATACAAGCAATGAATAAGTGAATAACCTGGTTATTCTTACCAGCAAATTTCATGTTTCGATTTGTCGTTCCAAGTCAAACATATCTTGGAACCATACACAAAACTTAATTGATTAAGTGATACATAAATGAATCCATCTCTTCTCTTGTATGAAAGCCATGTAAACATTCTTCCCACTATGATCCATTTTTGCCAACCTGAATTCAAAGAGTCTCTTTCAACACATCCCTTTTTTAAAGTAATCCCTAACTCATGCTTAAATTCGCGTCGACTTACACTTTATTGCCACAACTCCTTGACTTTTATTGTATCAAAAGGCAATTGAATCTACTCTTCGCACAAACCGTAATTATTGCCTTCGAACCAAAAAATCTTGGATTGAATTAGTAAAAGATATAATCATAGAATGCGATGCCACCATCCCTTACAATTCGAGCCTCAATTGATTAGAGAATATGCCGAAGACCTTGGCTTAATGAATAAATGAATTATATCCAGTTAATAGCATGCCACTTGACATTAATCTTGATAAATCATAAGAAGGTCCAACATGACTCTCTTCCCTAGGAAATCCTCAGATGGAAACTAAGCTTTAGAAACATCAAAGGAAAGAGATTCAATTTGAATATTGATGCAGTCATTAAGCGCCTCAAATGAAACCTTAATACACTTGTCTCATGATGGAAATTTGATGAAGACAGAAGTCCGTAATGACCATGAATACACAACCCTAACTTTAAACCATTGATTGTTGAAAAAACTCGTAAACCATTGATTGTTGAAGAAATCAGTTGATTCTCCCTAAATGAAGACGAGGGCTTAAAAGTACAGAGAATCCCTAACTCTTCAATATCTTTGATCATATGCCACATTTTATTGGTTAACGAATGAATGATGTGTTAGATTACCTAATGAGAGTTATGTACATGAGAAAAATACAAAATGCATAATCCAGATAAAAGCAAATGGGTAGGACAAATTTGGGTTATTACAATTAGTAGTACCTTTACGATACTTGAAAATTCGCTTAACTAATGTTAAGTGAGATTCTCTAGGATTCGATTGGAATCTGGCACAAAGACAAATGCTATATAAAATATCAGGTCTTGAAGCTGTTAAATATAGGAGAGAACCAATCATACCTTTGTAAAGCTTCTGTTCTACTTTCTTACTTACCTCTTCCTTTTCCATAATCCTTGTAGGATGCATGGGAGTTTTAGATGGCTTACTTTCTGACATATCAAATTTATTTAGAAGTTCTTTAACATACATGCTTTGATGTATGTAGGATCCTTTTAGAGTTTGATTGATTTGAAATCCCAGAAAGAACTTGAGTACACCCATCAAGCTCATTTCATATTCTTCCTGCATAGTCTTAGCAAATTCTTTACCAAAGGAGGCATTAGTAGATCCAAAAATTATGTCATCTACATATATTTTACAAATCACAATGTCATATTTAAATGATTTACAGAATAGAGTTGTGTCCACCTCCCCTCTTGTAAAATCATTTACTAAGAAAAAGTTACTTAGTCTAGCATACCAATCTCAGGGAGCTTGCTTCAGACCATATAACGATTTCTTATGTTTATAAACATATTCTGGATGTTTTGTATTTTCAAAACCAAGGGGTTGGTGCCCATAAACTTCTTCATCAATGTAACCATTTAAAAAGGCACTTTTGACATCCATCTGATAAAGAGTGATGTCATTATTTACAGCAAATGAAATTAAAAGTCTGATAGATTCTAACCTGGCGACAAGAGCAAAGGTTTATTTATATTCTATACCTTCTTGCTAACTATAACCTTATGCAACCAGTCGTACTTTGATTCTGACAACTTCTCCTTGTTCACTTAGCTTGTTTTTGAATTCCCATTTAGTTCCAATGATGTTGAAGCGTTTTGGTTTAGGAACTACATCCCATACATTGTTTCTGGCAAATTAATTTAATTCTTCCTGTATTGCAAGTATCCAATCATTATATAGACGTGATTCGTCTATGAAAGTAGGTTCTATCAGAGACACTAATCCCATGAGAGACTCTTCAGTATTCCTGAATGTAAAATGTTGTTCTGGTTGGATCATCTTTCTTTCCTAGAATCATGTTTTCAGGATGTACTAAGCTGCTTCTAGATTGTTTTTTCTGGATGGATTCTTCAGAAGTTACTGTAATACTTGTGATGTCTTCTTTTGTATTTGGATGAATTTCTGAACTTTTATCTTCAAAAGACATGTCTTCATTACCTGTAATTTGAACTTCTATATCTACAAAAGATTCCCCCTGATTTGACTTTTGAGAGCCAAGCTTATCATGAAATATGACACTAAAAGATTCTTCCATAATTCATATTTTCATGTTATATACTCTATAAAATTTTGAATGTTCAGAGTATCCTAACATGAAACACTTTTGTGCCTTAGAATAAAACGTGTTCAGATGATCTTTGGTGTTCAATATAAAACTAGTACATCCAAATGGATGAAAGTAAGAAATGTTGGGCTTTCTATTCTTCCACGGTTCATATGGAGTCTTTTCCAGAATAGGTCTTTTTGAGATTCTATTATAAATATAACACTTTGTGTTAACTGCTTTTGCCTAGAAGTGTTTAGCAATGTTAGTCTCATTGATCATGGTTCTGGCCATTTCTTATAAAGTTCTATTCTTTCGTCCTACAAATAAGTTTTATTGTGGAGTTCTAGGACAAGAGAAATCAAGAGAAATTCCATCTTCATTGAGAAAAATTTCAAACATTTATTTTCAAACTCTCCGCCATGATCACTTCTGACTTTTACAATTCTAAACTCTTTTTCATTCTGAACTTGGTTACAGAAGGTAGAGAACACCCAGTGTGACTAATCCTTGTGTCTTAAGAACTTTACCCATGTCTATCTGCTATAGTCATCTACAACCACTAATCCATACTTCTTGCTGCTGATGGATGCAATTTTCACTGGTCCAAGCAGGTCTATATGCAGAAGTTCTAATGGTCTAGAGGTAGAAACAACATTTTTAGATTTTAAGGAGGGTTTTGCAAACTTTCCTTTTTGACATGCTTCACACAGAGCATCTGAGGTGAACTTCAAGTTAGGAAGTCCTTTGACTAGTCTGAGTTTGTTAATCTGAGATATTCTTCTCATACTAACATGCCCCAATTTTTTGTGCCAGACCCATTTCTTATCATTAAGAGACATAAGACATTTTACATTCTAACTCTTTAGTTTAGAAAGTTTAATTTTATAATTTTTTTATTTCTCTTACCATTAAAAGGATAGTTCCATCTTTCTGGATAACTGCTCTGCAGGACTTTTTATTAAAGATTATATCATAACCGTTGTCACTTAATTGACTTATGGACAACAGGTTATGCAAAATCCATCTACTAAGAGAAAATTAGTTATAGAAGGAAGTGTATCATTACCAATATATCTAGAGCCAATTATTTTTCCTTTCTGATTGCCTTGGAAACCTACATAGCCTCCAGATTTAAATTCCAGACTTTGAAACATATCCTTTCTTCCCGTCATGTGTCGAGAGCATCCAGAGTCCAGGTACCAAGATTGGTGTTTTAACCTTGATTTTTGTGTCCTTGTTTGTTTGACTTTCAAGAATTATGATTGAATTTTTGTTTATAAGAGTTCACAAAATAATTTTCACTAGTGTATTTTATGTCATGTGTGTGTATGTGAAGTGTGAGTTTAAAGGTGTGTGTTTTATGACCATATCATCAACTTTATTTGATTGATATGGGTCTTTACCGTTTGGTTTCACCTATCCTATACCTTTTTCGCCATTTATACTAACTCCATAGATGATATAGGACATCTTGCTTCTATCTATGTTTCTAGCTAGAAATTTTTGAAAGTTGTGATCATATTCTTTTATGATGTTATCAGAACTAGTTGAAACTTATGAGATAAATTCTTTGAGTTTTTTGTATCTCGTTTTTAATAACATATTTTTCATTTTTAAGCTTAGAGATGGTTTCTTTTAGCTTATATTTTTCTTCTTTTAGTTTCCAAGGTTCTTCAGATTTAGATACTAGAACGTGTTTCTGGTTCTTGTTTTTGACTTGAAGTTGCTGATATCTTTCAAGAATTTTACATAGACTATCTTCTAATTGAGATCTAGGAAATTTACATAATACCTCTTCTACTTCTGTGTGTGATTCTGATTCATATGAACTAGTGTCATCTGATATGTTGGCCATTAAAGCGATATTGGCACATACTTCTTCTGATGCTGATTCTGCTTCAGAAGATTCTGAGTCATCCTACGTTGCCATAAGACTTTTCTTTTTTTCTTTGAAGAACTTCTTTTTAGGGTTTTCTTTGTGAAGTTTGGGGAAGTCAGTTTTGAAGTGACATGGCTCTTGCATTCTTAGCAGACGACATCTTTGCTGCTATACTTTATGTATCCGGAGGATGATTCAGAGTGATTACCTGCTCTTCAGGGTTTTTTGAATTTCCTATGTCTGTGCTTCCATAGCTAATGGTCTCTTCTGGAGAGAAGAGATGATTCATCTTCTTCTAATGAGGATCCACTAGAGCTTTCTTCTTTTTCCTGAAAAGCTTTAGTTTCATAATTCTTATTAGATTTAAGAGCAAGAGACTTACATTTCTTCTGAGCTAATCTTCTTCTTGTTCTATCTCATGACTTCTCAGAGAGCTGATAATTTCTTCAATAGATATACTGTTCAGATATTTGGCAAGCTTAGGTTATGACCA